AAAGCCCACACAAAAATATATAACACAAATAAACAGGAAAACAACAAAAAAACAGATTTAGCCCAGAAGTAGTAGTCAAGCTCACATTTAAGCCAAGCTTAAATTCTCAATTCCTAATATAAACTTAGGGTCAGTTAATCTGGTTTCCCTTTAACTTCAAAAATGTAAAAGAGGTAATTATGAAAAAAATAAAAATACCAGAAGGCTCCAACCATGTTTCACTCTTTTCTTTGATTTCACAACTGTGCTTTAACATGTCAATAAATTCTGTCAAACTAAAGTCCACAGTGACAGCTGAGAAAGAAGCAACAACTTTGTTTTATGTGCCACAGAATACACAATGACTTATGTAAGAAACCTGAATCTTCATTATGACTATCAAATAATTTGAGCTCAACATCTTATTCTAAGAAGACAGTGTCAAATAATGCATTTTAAAAATACAATTTAACTAGAGGGGAGGGGAGAGGTAGATGGGGTAAATGCGGTCAAATATGTGGTGACAGAAAAAAATCTAACTATGGGAGGTGAACGCACAATGTAAATATATACATATATGCCTTACTGTTAAAATGTACAACTGAAACTTACCAGATTTTGTTAACCAATGTCACCATAAAAATAAACAAAAATAAATAATAAAAATACAATTTAGATTTTGAAATGCAATTTAAAAATTCCATTGAAAATCACTAAGCTAATGGAATATAATTATATCTAAACAGGCAAATTTCAGTTAATTGGTTCTAAAAAAACCCCACATACATGGAATGCCTCATTCCCAATGACCATGCTATTTAAATGATATATACTAGATATTTTAAGCTACTGTTTAGTACTTTAAAAGGCTAGGTACTATATTTAATTAACATTATCACATTTAATCTTAACAAAGCTATAAGTATTATTGTCCCCATTTTATAGATGACAAGAGGTTAAGAGATTAAGCAATTGGTCCAAAGTACAAAAAACATTCAATTAGACTAAATAATTATACTTTTGTCCATTCTAGATTTTTAGCTGAGGATTATGTTATTTTTGTTATGGTATCATACCTTAGTCATTAACAAGCTATGTATTTTCTAAATTGTCACTTAAGCACACTTAACCTACCCAAGCAAATGTTTAGTTCAATCAAAATCAATAGATGATATACTTGCCCTTAAATCTCACCTCAGTTTTTTGGTTTTAAGCATGAAAACTCACAGATATTAAAGACATATTTTCCATTCAAAGTTCACTTAGACTTTCCTGCTAACTAGAGGACAATCTACCTTCCTGCCTTTGAAAGCCTCACTACAGTGGGTTAAAAAAAAATTAGAAAAATTATGTTCGCTTTTAAGTGTTGTTTTCTGGCACTTCTATAACCTGTAGAGTTTGAGCTCTGTAAATGGATATTTGATGAAATCTCATACACTGTAAATAATCCAAAACCTGGTATAATGTGTTTAAGAAATGGACCTGGAGTCAGACAGATTTCAATTGATAATGTCTCTGCCACTAAGTAGCTGAAAAGGCCTGGCAGGTAGCTAACACTAGAGTGATTATTAGAAAAATTCGAGTCGTATTTATTGCCACATTTGCAGCATAGATTTCCTAGGTTTGTCTTTTAATGTGTATACTCCAAGTTATAAACAAAACCCATACCTGAAAAGTTGTGTGAGCCGTGAAGAGAGAAGTGCTTACTTTTTGCATATATACGATGCTTAGCAGGCAACAGTAGAGCCACGAATATCCATCTCACTTATTTCCCTCACCCCACTCCCCACCATCCTGGGGCAAAATGAACCTAAGAGTTCTGGTAAGTAGGAGTTGGAACTTGTATTTCCCACAGAAACAGTATAAGTGGTAGCCAGACTTGTCACACTAAAGGTGAAACACATCTTTAAGTTGATCTGGGAATCTACCTATTTATAAGGTTCTCACTTTCTGAATTCCAAGAAGCCAGCATATACACACCTGTATTATACAACCCATTTTTACCATGGCAATTGGTGATAGCTTTCTCTTTGCTCAGTAGTCTAAAGATGATCTATCTTCAGGTGAATTTATCTATCTTCAGGTGAATTTCAAAGACTTATATTCTGGTTTGAAAGATGTACATTAAGAAGTCTTATTCGAACTGTACTTACTCAAACTGTAAATGCTGGAATGGAAAGAGTCCAACCCTCTCACTTGCCGTAGGAGGAAGCTGAGGCTCAGAATCACATGGGCTGTTTGGCAGGCCTTAGAACATAACACAAGTGGAACTCCAGATCCATGGTTCTGACAAATACTATCAGAGGTAAATACTGTCCTACTAACTAGGGCTGAGCATTTCTACAGTGGCAGGCGCTCCTTCCAACCATATCCAAGACCACGGTTTTAAGGCATTTTTTTTTTCCTTTTTTAATCCTAGTCTGTAGCCCTGTAAGTGTGACACCAAAACTTCCCACGAAGAGCAGTATTTTGGTATCAAACTAACACTGTCCAACGTATCGCATCCCAAACACCACTTTCTGTCTGCCAAGGCCATCCTTCATCTCTGGGGCCATACTACCCCACCACACCCTTCTCTACTCTTATCTGCCCAGTCTGTTTCTCAGTTATTGCTCAAGGTTTGGGCATTCTAGCAAGCTTGCTTGCTGTCTGCCCCTGCCTGAAAACTTCTATTGAGTAGATGTGATAGTGAATTCCTACTATGTGCAAGGATTAGTGCTGGCACTGGAGTAGTTAACTTCTCTCCTGCTCTTTCAAAGCTTCATTTCATCAAGGAAGGCTTCCATGATAAATGAGACTGGCTTTCAAACTCCTAACTGCAACCAGGGTAAAAAATAATTTACATGCATTTCCAGTACACACCCCTTCAAATAACTCAAAGGTGTGATGTTATATTCTTACTATGTATGATAAATTGATATTCTTCATTGTTCTCCATTTTTTAAAAAGTCCTAGAAAACAAATTTAGGGGGATAGAGAACATAGATCATAAAATATACACAATATACAAATACATAAAATGTCAGATGCTGTAAAGAAACAATGAACTTTAAGTTCTAAAACCTAAATTTATTTTTCAACCTGCTAATGGATCATGATGCAGTTTGTAAAATAATACTCTGTAACATATGAGTGATTACTTTGACATGATGCTAGAGAAATAGAAGCATCAGCAAATACTCAGGTGTAAGATCCACCTCTACCCCTGCCTCCTGAAAATGTCATACCTTCTGTGTGCCCCAAAATATGTAGAGATATAGAGCTACCACAATGGAGAATTAATACCTGCATACCACAGGTCAAGGATTGGGAGAGAGAACCAACTTGGAGGGAGACTAAGTTTCACCAAAGTGCCATTTTAGGAGTAGAAAGTAGAGTAGGGCTTTTTTTCTTAACCACCTGAGCAGTCTTCACAACCTCAATTCTTCCTCTTGTGTCGGGCTGCCTATTTCCAACTGGGCTGTCAACACTTACAAGTAGGAGATGTGACTGAAGCAGAATTGAAAATAGTAAATGAGCAGTGGGTTTTTTAAAAATCTAAGACAACTTTTCTACTTTGTGGTTTCTGTTCAAAAGTAAACTCCCCACTCCAATAGACACTAGTTTATCTGGGGGTCGGGGGAGAGCAAAGGGAAGTGTGGGAGAGGAAAAAATCTAAGGGGATAGAGGATAGATCATATAATACACAAATGAATATATAAAATGTCTGCTGCTGTAAACGAAGAACTTTACACTAAAACTGAAGATATATCACCAAATACATACTATAACCCTTTTCTGTCTAAGTATGACAAGTCACTTATAGTAAAACCATAAATTACTAAGTCATTATACTTTTCTAACTTAAAACAGCATAATTCCTTCAACTGCAAGAGGCAGAATTATCTTCCAATCTTAGAAGCAGAAAAACTAACTTTGCAGGGAGAGAAAGATTCTTTATTGGTGAAGCAGCACCTTGACACTTAGGTCAAGAGTGATAACACGGACTAGAAGATAAATTACTTACACCTGACCCAGCTATGGAAAGAAAGCAAATGGTGAAAAAAATATTGATGGTCTTTTCGAGAAGTCACTTAATTATCTAAACTGTACGTACGTTTGATTTTTAAAGACGGGAAGGGAGGGCAGACAAAAACTTTAACACTGAGCAATGCTTTCCAGGGCATTACAACAAATAATGGTTCAACATATTGAGAATCCAGAGACATTTCACCTCCAGGCAGAACACATGTTGAAGCACCGATTTTTGTAAAGTTTAGATACTGGATAGAGGCCATGGAAAGGCACTAACAAATCCTAATTTTTAAGCGCTAGAGTTCCCATTTAGAATTAAACAGAACCAGGAAGGTTTCTCCTCTTTAGGAAAACCCAGCTGTAATTTGTTTCAATTTATATCTATAAAGTGCGTGCGTGTGTGCGTGCGTGCGTGCGTGTGTGTGTGTGTGTTTGACGGGGGAGGCGGGGTGGGGGGATGGGGGTGATGAGGCGAAGTCAGAGGTTTAAAGATAACTAGATGCGGGGGGCGAAGCAAACATCCTGAGGACCTGATTCCTAATAGCAACGGGCCTTCCTAGGACAACTTTCGTTCCATGTTAACCGCAAAAGCACATTTTGAGATCGGACGGTGGATCGCGAGAGGAGGACGGCAGGTAAGCGGAGAAGACTGTAAACTCCCCGAAGCACCAAATGTCACACTTTTTCATGCTTGCGCCCTCCCTGTGTCCAATCCACATTTGCAGAATGAAGAGAAAACCCCTACGAATGAATGAATGAGAGAGAAGTCTGGGCAGAAGGCTCAGAGCAGGGCCCCACACCCCAGACGGACTTAGACACCCGCGAGACGAGGACAGGGACCGCGCGCCGGGGCGGGGAGACGCCCGAGTATCCTCAGGGCGCAGTGTAGGACGCGGACCGCCGTGGGGCCCTGGAGCCGGGGTCGCAGGTGAGGCCTTGCGGAACAAAGGCGGCGCAGGGTGGCCTGACACAGGTGCCTAGAGGGGGCGGGGGCTGTGGGAGCTCACCTCGTCGCCCCACTTGAGCACATCCTTGTGCCGGTCCTTGACGGCGTGGTAGATGTGCAGGAACTGGAGGATCCCGTGCCGCCGCACGTGGTCGGCGTGGCGCTTGGTCTCCTCCCAGCTCAGCGGCGATCCTTGGGACAGCAGCCCCATGGCCGCCCCCTCCTCCTTTTCCTTGGGGCTGACGGCGGCTGCTCGCTTCGGGCGCGGGACGCGAGCCGGACACTCGACTGTCCGCAGAAGACGAAGGCGGCGGCAGCTGTTCCGCCCCGGGGGGGCGCCCTCGGGCCGCAGCCGACAGAGGGAGGGTCGGGTCCGCTCCGGCTCACCCGCGCGAGGTCCTTGCCGCCCAGGTGACCGACCCAGGGATCCGGCGCACCCAGACGACTTAGAGGCAGAGGACGAGAGGGCAAGCTGGGCGGCCCCTGGCCTGGCAGCCTCGTCCCTCGTTTGCTCTGGCTTGCGCCCTGCTCTGCCTCCGAGGCGGCGGCGACGGACCCCACAGCCGCGGTGCGGCAGCGGCTCCCGCTGCTCTTTGCCGGTGTCGTACACTGGCTTCTTCCTACTTGTGACCAAGACCTACGCCGCCGCGGAGCATGCCCAGTCCTCTTATCCGCTCTCTCGCCGTTCCTGTGAACGGTCCTGCGCTCCGGATTTTATAAAGAACGGGAGGGGGCGGGGAAAAGGAGGCGGTGCAAGAAGGGAGGCGTGGCTGAGCGCCCGAAGGAGCAAAGGGGGCTGCAGAGGAGGCGTGCGCTGGCGGGATTAGGGCGGAGTCAAAGGGAAGGAGCTCGCCAGGAGTCGGGAGGGAGGTCGGCCTCGCTTTAGCAGACGCGATATGTATGAATTCGTTTTTTCTAACCCAAAGAGATAAACTCTGGGTTGGAGAAGAAATTTGATTATTTGAATTAATGAAGAACCCTCCAGATTATTTTTTAGGTGAGAGGGGCCTCACATTTATAAAAGCAGCGTGAGAACAGCAGGGTATGGAAAGAAAAATGTTACCTTGGGAGTCAAATGAAACACATTTAATTCTATGAGACCTTAGACAAGTTATTTCCAAACCTGTAAAAAATTATATTAATTCTTTTATGGGTGTTGTAAGAATGTGCATAGTGCAGATGTGCACATAGTTAATGGTCAATAAATGACCCGGTTATTAAGAGGAATCAACCTGTCTACAAGTTTTTAGACATGTGTATATATTACAAGTATTTGTGCAGTCTTTAAATTAACTGATGACATACCTTTTTTTTGGATGGCACAGACACCATTCATTGCAACAAAAGGGCCTCTGTGACTATCTCCAGATGGATCATTTGAAGGAATCACTTCCAAAAGTATATCCCCCATCCAAGCCTAAGACTCATCTATTAAGTGATTAAAATGATGTTCATGTGAGCTTACCATGGGATTAGAAGATATTAGAAACAGCTTGTGTTGGCACTATCCTTGCGAAAAAGAAACAAGGTATTTCACCCCAAACTAATTGTTCAATAGATATGTGTTGACAGCAATGATATGACAGGTCAAGGGAAAAGTGTCGGCAACTAGATCATACATGTACTGAGGCTAGAAAGTGTGTATTCTTATTGTGCCCACTTCCTTCATACTATGAAGTTAACATTTAGTAAGCACTTATTAACTGCGAGATGGCTATTTGATAGTAGGAGTCTCTTCTCCCACACCCTTCATATTGGATATGCCCATCTCAGGCCTTGGTCACACAGATACTCAAGATCTGGCTGTAATTTCCCCAGTGGATGTGTGTGAGTATGGGGGTGTTGGGGCGGCAGTGAGGGGTCCACCTCTCACTTCTCATTTGAAGCTCAATGAGATGAAGTTTCAATACCCAGTGCACAGCCAGGATAAAAACCAAGCTTCATTCTCATTTGTTCACAGCTGACTCAACAGTCTGAGCCACTGCCCCTACTCTTCCTTGTACTCTCCCCGCCAACCTCTTCAGACCTGTGAGAACCTGACACATTCTTGTTTATCCTTTAAATTCCAGTTATTCCTCTTTGTTGCATTTATACATGCCCCTTTTACTACATTATGATAGAATCATTTAAACAACATCTCCACACTATCTAGTGACTTCCTCTAGGATAAGGATGATTTATGCCTTTTGTATCTTTAATTCTAGAAAACTGCTTTGTATAAATGTTAGCTTCCTGTGGAAGGCCGGTAATGTGGGGGTTGGGAGGGCAGCATTGGTTATGGTTTCACGCACAGGTGAGGCATCAAAAGGATCATTTTGTTATTCTTATAATCTCATCTTACATTTGCACTGACCTGCACTGTTCAGAACAATAGCCATCTGCCGTATGTAGCTACAGAATGTTTGAAACGTGGCTAATTTGAGAAACTGAATTTTAGTTTTATTTAAATCTGGTTAAATGTAAATTTCAAAATTGATATTCCGTTTGGTTACTGGGAAACTTTTAAGTAAATTTGAAATAGATTGAGAATGTGAATCCAGTTTTTCATGTTAATTTTATGAAACCTAAATACAGATCAAGTATTTCCAGTGAAAATTTAGTGGCCTGGGGAGATGTGCTGTGAGTGTAATACACACACCCAATCCAAAGGCTTGGGGCAAAAAAAAAGAATGTAAATATCTCATTAATAATTTTATATGGATTATATGTTGCTATAATATTTTAGATGTTTAGAGTATATTACTTAAATTAATCCACCTGTTTCTTTTTAGTTTTTAAAGGTGGCTAATGGAAGTTAAGATTACATATGGCTCACATTCCACTTAATTAAAACAGCGCAGGTGTAGACATCATTTACACTTTGCAAAGCACACACTTTTCTCGTACACCTGCTGCATTTCCTCACAATAGAGTGAAGCTGGTCTCTTGGGAGAGCGCCAGTTTTTAATGAGGAAACAGAGATAGGGGCGGTTCAATAAGAGACAAAATTCTAGTCTAGTGAAACAAAGCTCTACGTGATACTGAATGTAGTGAGAGTTAATACTATAAATCGAGTTACTCAGCCCCAGATTCCGGTTGACACTCAAAGAAGGGCACCTCTCCCACCCTGCCCCCGAATTCCGAACCAGCATCCCAAGAGAAAGTCTCTGGGCCCCGGCCAATCCTAAATTAGGTGCAGCGTGGTGGCATCACCTGGCAGTTTTGTCAAATTTAAACTATGACCGCCACAGTGCCTCTGCCAATTACTGTTGGGGGTGGGGGGGAATACCCACCACAGATCAACGAAAGTCATATTCAACAATTCATTTCCCTTTCTTTGACTGTTTTGAATTTTTAGGTTTACTTCTCAATTCATTCTGTAGACTGCAGCTAGGATTGGGTTTCCAGTTCTGGGAGTGGATATTCAGCAGACGGCCTCGGGTAGAACGTTCAGGGCTTTAATTATCGTTAAAGAGAAAAGAAGGCTTTCATATTTTGCAGAATTAGGTTTTTCCCAGGCCTCAAAGAAAGGCAGAATCCTGTTCATTTCTTCTGCAGAAAAATGCAAGACGTCCACGGCCGGAATCAAGCCCTGACAGTGGCGGGTCAGCCCCTGCATCCCGCCCGGGACAATTGTAAGCTCCGCCTCTAGGGCCGTCTGGAAAACCCGGACCGTGGAGCCAGGAGACTGCGGACTCCGCGCAATCGCGCGGCCGAGCTGAGCATGCTCGGAGAGCGGATCAGCCGCTAGAGGAAGCGGCGTGGGGCTGGGGCGCTGCACGCTGCGCGGTTGTTGTGATACAACCCCCGCCACGTGACTGCAGCGGCCCGCCTCCCGGCACCGCCTCTCTGTGACTCAGCACTTTGTGCCGGCTTCGTGCTAGAAGTCAATCTAGAGAGAGCTGCACTGTAAAGTCTCTGCTGGCCACTCCTGACCGCTGGGCTGTTGCTGCTACTGGTATTGCAGCAGCCGTTTCAGGCTTGTCTGGCCTGGCAAGAAGAAAAAAAATATATATCATTTCCCTGTAGTCATGCAGTGCGCAGTTTCCCTGAGTCAGCAGCTCCTCAGAGAGCTCTCAGCTGGCTGAGCAGAGATCAAATGAGGAAAGCAGAGTGGGTGTGCCTAGGAGTCTCTGAGGGAGGACCCTGTAGGTTCAAGCCCTTTGCTGTCTCCTGCCCCAAACCTTACTGCTCTCGAGTTACCCCGAGCATCCCCCTAGGTGGTCTTTTGGGTGGCTCCAATAACGCTCCTCTTAGTGCACCTGCTTTATGCCAAGTACTTTGACTTGGAATCTATAGAATAGTCATGGTTGCTGCCATGTTTTATAGATGAGGCAGCTGAGTTCCTGTACTGTAGTCTCCACTTATTCGTAGGGGATACATTCCAAGGCCCCCCCCCCCCCACCGTGGGTGCTTGAAACCACAGATAGTACATAACGCTATATGTACTGTTTTTCTTATGCATACATATAATAAAGTTTATATTACTCTTGCACTTTGGGGCCATTAAGTCAAATAAAGGTTACTTGAATATAAGATAAGCACTGTGAGATAGTTGATCTGATAACTGAGATGGCTACTAAGTGACTGTCCGGTAGAGAGGAGGACGGTGGAAGATTTCATCATGCTACTCAGAACAGTGCCCACAATTTAAAAATGAATTATTTCCAGAATTTTTCATTTAATATTTTCAGACTGAAGTTGATGCAGGGAACTGAAACCAGAAAGTGAAAAACAAAACCCTGAATAATGGGGGGAGGGAGTTGGAGAGGGTGGCAGGAGGCTGCTGAAATAGTAAATAATAGGTAGTGACTACACAGGGATTTGAACTCCAGTGTGATTTCAAAGTCTGTGCCCTTTCTACTCCACCTCAGGCCGGAGTAAAGTTCAGGGCCTCCTTCGGTGGGACCCTTCTTGGGTGTGGATACTGCCTCCACAAAGCCCTTCTCCTCTGATACACCTTTTCCCTAAAAGACCTCTGGTCTGCCAGTGAGGTGCTTAAGACCTCCCTTTTGTTTTACTTAATTGGTAAAAACAAATGCACAGTTATTTCTTAACTTCAGTGTGCATAATACAAATACAAAAGATGTAGGATTTTCTCCCTACGATTGCATTATACTTGGAATTTGATTTCCTTATACTGAACAAGGCCCCTAGGGCCTTATGACAGAAGAGCAGTCGTCAAAAGGAGTAGACATATACCTACACTACATCTTGTGCTTTATATCAACAGTTTTGTTTAATTTTTTTAATAGTTTTAACATACATAAACTTGTAGTAGATAGCCTTGGTATGTTTTACAAATGAAATTTGCCCTTTCATAATTTTCTCTATATACCTCACTCCTAAGAACCAGACTCAAAGAATGAGCACACTAATAACTCATATTTGTCTTTTGGGGGTCTTCACTTTAGCTCAGAGGGTAGTCTGCTTAGTCAATTTAAGCAAAGTTGTGTTTCTCATCAGGACCCCACCCTCTTCACCTCTTCAAATGAGAGTCCGGAAGGAACTGAGGTTTTCCTTCCAAGCTAAACACTCTCTGATGTCAGTACCACTAAATCAGTGAAAAACTGTGCAAATTTTTTTGTATCATGTGATATTTCTGACATATGTTGCTAAGATGCACTCTTGTCCTTTTAAGTAAGAAAACAAAACAGAACCTCTTTTAATTTGGTTTTTAAAGCTAATTTTTAGTTTACATGGATTTAAAAAAAATATGA